AATCTGATTAAAGAGACCAAAAAAGTCAAATCAACAAAATAGGAAACAAACAATTATAGCAAAACCGAAAGAAATAAAAAGATCAGAACATATCATATGCAGTTATATGCTAACGAAACTGAGAACATAAAAGAAATAGAGAAATACCTCCAAAAACATAAATGGTTGTATTGATCAGTTATGTTGACTTTTTTTCCTCCCTAAAAATATACTATTTGTCATATGGGATGGCTCTCTGGGAGAGGGAAAGGATACGTGGGATATGTGGTGATGTAAAAAACACCTGAAAATAGCAATTAAAACTATTTAAAAAAACAAATTAAAGTAATAGAGGGAAAAATGGGAAAAGAAATGAGATCTATAGAAGAAAAAAATTGGAAAGAGAATTAACAGCTTGGAACAAGAGCTATAAAACCTTACCCAAGAACAAAAAACTCCTGTAAAATTAGAATTGATTAAATAGAAGCTAATTACTCTATAGACAACAAGAAATATTAAAACAAAGTCAAAAGATTGAAAAAATGGAAGAAAATGTAAGGTATCTTGCAGCAAAAGCAACTGACCTGGAAAACAGATTGAGGTGAGGTAATTTAAGAATCACTGGACTACCTGAAAGCCAGTATGAAAAAAAAAAGAGCCTAAATATTGCATTTCTTTTTTTAAAAATTTAAGTTGTATTTTAAAAAATCAGTGAAAATCCACCTTATCTTCTTCCCTTTCCCCCTTTCATCACTGTCCCTGCCATTAAGAAAAAAAGAAAAATAAAATTCTTGTTATAAACAGTCAAGCAGAACACATTTCTGCATTGACTGTGTCCAAATTTTTTTTTGTCTCATTCTGTATTGTGATTCCTTTACATCTCTATCAGGAGTTATGTAGCAAGTTTCACCATTTACTAGGGCATAGAGATATTGCAAACAAACATAAAAAGGCAGAAATAGTTCATTTCTGGAATTAATTTATTAACTAATTTCCGTATTCTCTGGAATCATGGTTGGTTGGTCATTATACTGATCAGAGTTCTCAAGTCTTTTAAAGTTGCTTGACTTTAAAATATTGTTGTTTTTGTATAAATTGTTCTCCTGATTTTGCTTACTTCATCAGTTCATACAAATCTTCCCAGGCTTCTCTGAAACCATCCATTTAATAATTTCTTAGGACACAATTGTATTCCATCATATTCATATCCCGTAATTTGTTCAGTCATTCCCTAATTGATGGGCATCCTGCCAGTTTCCAAATCTTTGCCACTGCAAAAAGAGCTATGTCATTTTGTACATCCTTAGTTAGTTTTGTTTTGGACTAATCCCTCCCTTAATCTACTTTCCCTCTAATCCTCTCTTTTCCATTATCCCATTTCCCTCTTATTTCCCCATTTAAATGAAATATATTTCTGTACCCAAGGAATCCAACCATTACATCCTGAAAAAAATCTCAAAATGAAAACTCCCAGAAATATTATAGCCAAAATCCAGAACTTCCAGGTCAAAGAAAAAATGCTGCAGTCATTAAGAAAGAATTTAAGTATTGAGGATCCACAGTAGTGATCACATATGATTTAGCAGCCGCTACTATAAAGGAGTAGAAAGCTTGGAATATGATATTCCAGAAAGCTAAAGATCTAGGTTTACAACCATAAGTAATTTACCCAGCAAAAGTGAATATTATCCCACAGAGAGGGAAATGGATCTTTAATGAAATAGAGCACTTCCAAGCATTCTTGATAAAAGACCAGAGCTGAGTAGAAACTTGGAAGTACATAGAATCAAGAGAAACAAAAAGGCAAATTTAAGTGAGCAAGCATAAGGGACTAAACAAAGAGAACATGTTTACATTCTAACATGGGGAGATGGCACATTTGTCCCCTCAGAACTCTATCATCATAGAGTTAGTTTATAATTTAGTCATAGAGGTAGTTTAATTTGACAGAGTGTCTGGGAGTGTTTCTGTTATATTTTGATTGTTTTAGAAGAAGAATGGAAAGGGAGAGGAAGAGGAATACATTGGTTGGGGGGAGAGGAAAGATAGGCAAACCTATCTCACGTAACTAGGATTCAGAAGTAGAAGTCTATACAGACAGGAAGGGAAGGGATGAGAGGAGTGACTGACACTTGAACCTCACTTTCATCTGAACTTGTCAAAGGAGATAAGGTCACAATAACATAGTTAAAGAAATCCATTTCACTCAGTGGGGAAATAGGAGGAGAAGAGGTTAACGGAAAGGGAGGGAATAAGAGGGAGAGCAGATTAAAGGATGGATTAGTTTTAAGTAAAACAAATTCTTTTTTTTTGCTAGGCTATTGGAGTTAAATGACTTGCCCAGGGTCATACAGCTAGTGTTGAGTGTTTTGTGTCTGAGACCAGATTTGAACTCAGGTCGTCCTGACTCCAAGGCTGGAGCTCTATCTACTGCGCCACCTAACTGCCCCAAAACAAATTCTTAAAGAGAGAACCAGAAACAAGGAGAAGGAAAAGTATAAGAGAATAAGATGAAAGAGAATTAAAAAAAATTAGCAACCATAACTGTGAATGTGAATGGGAAGAACTTATCCATAAAATTGAAGAAGACAGAGCAGAATGGATCAGAAAGATCAGAATACAACAATATGTTGTTTGCAAGAAACACGCTTAAAACAGAAAGATATATACAGAATTAAAATTAGGGTCTGGAGCAAAATATATTATGCTTTTGATGAAGTGAAAAAGGCAGGGGTTGCAATCATGATCTCAGACAAAGCAATAGCAAAAATAGACTTAATTGAAAGAAATAGGGAAACTACATTTTTTTTTTCCTGAAAGCAAATGAATGAAATGCTGAAATACAATGAATTAATATCAGTACCAAATATGTATGCACCAAATAGCATAGAATCTAAATTCTTAAAGGAAAAGCTAAGTGAGTTATAAGAGGAAATAGACAGTAAAACTATAACAGAGAGAAACTCAACTTACCGCTCTCAGACCATGACAAGTATTACCAAAAAATACACAAAAAAGAAGTGAAGGACATGAATAGAATTTTAGAAAAGTTAGATATGATAGACCTCTGGAGAATATTGAATGGGAACAAAAACAAGTATATTATTGCTTATGTATGGCACCTTTACAAAAATTGATCAAATATTAGGGCAGGGCTTGGCAACTTATGGCTTACAGGTCAAATATGGCCCACCACCTGTTTTTGTATAGTCCATGAGTTGCAAGTGGTTTTTTACATTTTAGAACAAAGTTTTATTGTATTTTAAAATGTAGAAAAACATTGTTAGCTTGTGGACTGTATAGAAATCGGCAGGCAGGCTGGATTTGGCTTTTAGGTCAGTTTGTTGGCCCCTGTATTAGGGCATAAAACATAAAAAATATAGAAAACAATCTTTTATGGACCACAATGCAATGAACATTTATAAAGGGACTCTGATTAAATGATTAAGAATTAACTAATGACCAAATAATCCTTTAAAATGAGTGGGTCAAAGAACAAATCACAGAAACAATCAATAATTTCATGAAGGATGATGACAACAATGAGACGACATGCCAAAATATTTTGGGATACAACAAAAGCAATACTTAGTGGAACAAATTTCTCTCTCAATACTTTCATCAGTATAAAAGAGAAAGAGCAAATCAATGCATTCGGCATCCAACTAAAAAAAGCCTAGAGAACCAACAGATTAAAAACCTCCCAATTAAACACCAAAATAGAAATCCTAAAAATCAAAGAAGAGATGAACAAAATGGAAATAAAAAACCATTGAATTAATAAATAAAACTAAGCATTTTTTTTTAGAATAGAAACAACACTTATCTATTTCCATTCCTGTGATATCTCATATCTCTTCTTTTCCTTGATTTTCAGAGATCACTGACAACAATTGAATCCATAAGTCCTTTCAGAGTCCAATTCATTAAGAGCAACTAGGTGTTCTCTTACTGTCTCCTCAACTACTTTTGCCTTCCGTTCTCTCATTATGTAGTTGTTACCATTTGTAACCCAAAGATCGTTTTCTTTGACAGAGCAGATGGAAACAAAATATGAGTTGAAGAGTTCTACTTTCTTTCATCCATTAACACTGTACCACCTTCTTCATGCTGCCATAGATTTTTTTTTTTTTTTTTCCTATTCTTTCCTCTGATGGAGTTTTGGAGGACTTAGTACCTGAAGCTTTTTCCAGAAGCCTTAACTCATGCTGGGCCCAGCCTTTCTTATAGTCTTCTTCTAGAACTGGTATTTGTCCTTGACTGTGTGTGTTTTCTTCCATTTTCATGTGTAGCTTTTACCAGTTTGTGCTTCCTGGGCATACACAGTAGTTTGCCACCACTTTTTTCCTCACCGGAATAGTTCTTTTCTGTGTGATCAGAGTTACGTATCTACAAAAGCAGATTTTGCATGCATTTTTGGCTACTCTAGCTTGCAGGGTTTCTATGCATTTGGGGGACCTTGTGGAAATGCAAGTACCACTAAAGCTTCCATTTGCTCAGGTTTACAATCTCAGGGGATTGCTGGTTCTTCCTTTTTCTTTCCCCCTCAAATACAATCAGTGTTCAAGTGTTCCACATCCTTTCCTTATGAAGTCACTACCCCCTCAGCCTTTGAATCAGACTCTCCACTCAGGGCTTCAGAAACGTGCCCAACCTTCAGGTTGCTTCCAATTTAGTGGCATCTTGGATTAACCTAAATCAGAGGGAGGGGCTGTGAGCAGAGACTAACCTGTGTATACTTGGCTTCACGAGGTGCCCGTAGCTCTTCTGCATCTGGCAGAAGAGGGAGGTAGGAGCTGGTGGCCTGAGATTCCTCCTTACCTGGACTCTGACCTCTGGAACTGACTTGGCTGAGCTAGGCCCAAGTAGAGCCTTGGGGCTGTGCCTGCCGAAAGCCTGCATCCTGATGGAATTGGGGTGAAAAGCCAGCAGTACAAAAGGCTCCTCCTCCTACCTGTGGACTCCAGCCCCTACCGGAAGGGGCTGGCTTGAGTAGAGCCAGAACTAGCATTGGACAGAGCTAGCTCCCAGTCATTCTGGCTGGGAGAAAGGTCATTTCCCAGCTGGGGCAGAAAGAGGCCAGGCTGAGACTCCTCTCTCCAGGGAGCACAACAGCAAGGGAGAAGGGACGGATCCACATCACTTTTGCCTTCACCACAAAGTCACAAGCAAGAGACAACAGAGCCATCCAGTGGCAGGGCACGAGACAGCCTTTGCGAAGGAAATGGTCTGGAAAACATTGACATTTAAATATCCTTTTCCCTCCTCTGGCTTTCTGGCATTTTTGTAATCTATGTACTTAGCCCTTTGATCTTCCTTTGTTCTCTTTCCTTGAAATCCTCAGGGACCCTGGTGATTTCCTGTTTCTATCTTGGAATTTGCCCTCACCTTCATTGCTCAGGTGATTGAAATGGAGGGAGAGAGTCAAGAGATAGGGGGTGGGGGAGAGGAGAGAAAAAAAGGGAAGAAGGGAAGAGAACAAAGAAGGAGGAGAGAAACGGAAGAAGAAATGAGAGAAAGCCAGGCTAGTCAGAAAGAGAAAAGAAGCTCAGGAGTGACTATATTATTTACCTCCTGAGAATTAAAATGTTTAGAAAGACCACATATAGAACATGTGAACTGACATTTCCCAGTAAAATTGGGGTGGGGAAGGAGAGTGGGAGCGGGAGAGAGGAGTCAACGAAGACAGATGGAATCTCTTTCCACTTTTCTCAGTCTCGAAGTGGTTGCAGTAAGGTGCTGTCCTCATGTCTCATCCATGGAATAGACCACCTGGTGATGACTGTGAAGAGTATTGAAGAAACTACATCCTTTTATGCAAAATCGCTGGGCATGGAAGTGGTGACGTTCAAGGTAATCTCACTCTCATTACACGTATTCATTGGTTCCTGCAGGAATCTGTGTTATTTCATCGCGTGGCTGATTCTCCACCAATGTACATCTCAAGCCTTTCATGCCTTAATAATTCATCAATTACTGACTGGAGGCCAGCTCTTTGTAGATGAGCCTCGAAACCTGGCAGCCCACTGGCATGGCCTGTAATCCGATGCGGCTTTAGAGCAGGAATTGTAATAGTTCAAGTAAGTGCTTAGCACTATGCCTGGCACATAGTAGGTACTATATAAATATTAGCTATTATGATTATTATTGGTGAGAAAACATGGCGAATACAGGGTCATTGGATTAATTATCCAGTAACAGAGTGTCCATTTGAGCTACCAGGCACATGGGATAGCTTTCTGAATAGGCTACATCATCTCCATTGGTCACAAGAGGGCGCTCAGTCTACCACAGCTGACATTGTGCCTTTGGCACTGGCCAGGTTTGGAATTTAATCAAGGGGGTGAAATAGAAATGAAAGTATGATAGCTGGCCCATACAGAGTTCTTGGGCCTTTGTGTCTGTATTCTCCTCTCTCAGGTCACAACTGTTCCGACTACTTACCCTAACCCTAACCTTAAATGCACTCTGTGTTACATGGGAAAGATAATGGGTCTTGTGCTCCTATAGGGAGTCATCCACCTGCAGTCATCTCATAAACTTCCTCCCATTTAACATCCCAGATCTTTGGCCTGTGGAAAGAAAGAAGCGTGTGTGTCTATCTGAGTGTGTGTGTGTGTGTGTGTGTGTGTGTGTGTGTGTGTGTACCCAGGACTCCTTTCAGGATCAAAGAGTGGGTGCCATGCTAGCCCTCCTCAGTCTCAGCCCTTGGGTTGCTTTTTGGTTGCATTTCCCAGCTCCAGGATCTCAGTCTCCTCTGTCACTGGCCAACAGTCTCAGCCATTTTAGTTTACTCTAGATTCAATGGCAGCAGCTTCTTGTCCCACACGTGGAAGCCAGCAGATCTAGCTCCTCCCACAGGGGACAATAATACTCATTACCTACTGCATAGGTTTGGTGGGAGGAATGTGGCATGGCAAAACACTTTGTTAACCAGGCAGCGTGTACGTGCAGCTGGGCAAATGCTGAAGGACCAAGCCTATACCTAAAGGGAGGGCCATTTGCAACTTTTACAAGCATGAACAACAGCTCAAGTGAGGGTGAAGCCTTTACTTATCAAATCCCAAATGCTCAAATCATTTTTCAGATAATAGATGATATTCAACAGTATTTTCTATTGGTGAATCTTTTGCCCCCTTGTCCTACTGCTGATGGACGGCTCCTACCATCTGCCTTCTCAGTATGGGACTGGGCTCTAGGAAGTTCTGTTCTCTGACTTTAGCTGAGGGATTGGGACTGACAGCATTTAACACCTGGCTGGGGAATGAATGAGAGGTGACATAAGAGATCCTGTCAGTCTCTGCTGAGGTGAGGCAAGGCCTACTGGAAATTCTCTTGCTCCACTTGGGCCTGGCTACTCTGGGAGGGCAGCCAGTATCTTTCAGGGTTTCACCCTGATCAGTGGAGGGTCAGGGGAGGAGGGAGCCTAAGCACTCTTGCCCAGGACATGGGGAGTCAGACTCTCTATGCCCTTCTGTCTGAGACTGCCCAGAGACCTCCGGGTCTGAAGAACATGGACCCTGGTGAACTGGGGTCTACAGAAGGGGTGGGCCTGGAAAATGTCCCAACAGTCCCTGGCTTCCCAACCCAGTCAGGCAGGGAGATGGGAGTGGAGAGCTGATGATAGGTACCAAGGAGGGAAAGTGTTGCAGGCCTGTGTAGCACCTGGGCCAGGAGAGACCTTTGCAGTCTTGCCCCCGGGGATCTTTCCTCTTGCATTACTGCTTTTTCTTCTATCCTTATTCTTGACTCTGGCACAAACAGGGAAACCGGAAAGCCTTGTGCTTTGGGAATCAGAAATTTAATCTTCACGAGGTTGGGAAGGAATTTGAACCCAAAGCCCACAACCCTGTGCCAGGATCCATAGATGTCTGCCTGATTACGGACTGCCCTCTCCATGAGGTGGTGGAACATCTAAAGGTAGGTGAGATAGCAGAGATGGCCAGAGGAATGTCCATCTGGATTAAGACCTAGATTTAGGGCACTGTTACCTCATCTCTGACAAACTGATTTGTATAAAGGAGAAGAGGGGGCTACAACCAGATACAGGGGTAAAGACAGAGAAGGGAGTAGGGAAAGGAGGATCCTGCTAAATGCTGGATAGGAATCCAGGCTGGAAATGGTCCCAGAAGGGACCCAGGGGCCTTATCTATCTCTCTAAATAGATCATCTTTTAATCTCATCCCTGTGCTCCATCTTGCTTTGAAAAGATTCAGAAGAGCTAAAGAACAATTCTGACTTTTTTTTGGTCAGGCAATGGGGGTTAACTGACTTGCCCAGGGTCACACAGCTAGTGAATGTTATGTGTCTGAGGTCAGATTTGAACTCAGGTCCTCCTGACTCCAGGGCCAGTGCTCTATCCACTGTGCCACCTAGCTGCCCCTAAAGAACATTTCTGAATGCCAACTTTACCTTGCTTTGTACTCTTAGCTCTTAGCATAGTGCCTATCATATGCTAAATGCTTAATAAATGCTTGTTGTTTGATTAATTGCCAAAAGAAGCCCTGGTTATTCAACAACATTAAAATTACTCAAAGTAGTTTATGCATTATTGAGGAGAGCCTTGAATGACAGGCTAAGTAATGACTGACATATTGAAGATTCTAAAGGAAAGAATATGAAATAGCATACTTAGGATCAACATAATTCCTCCTAATTGATTTGGAGAATCTATTTGTGTAATTAGTATAATACAAAAGTGGAGTGGACTGTCTCCAGAGGTAATCGGTTCCTCATCACCAAAAAAAACCTTTAATAAAGTATAACACTCCATTATGTGAAAAGCTCTACAAAGTGTAAGCACAGAGGGACCTTTTTAATATCACGAAGAGTAGCTATCTAAAACCAGAACCAAAGACCATATGCAATAGGGATATACTAGAAGTGTTCTTAATAAATACAGGCGTAAGCAAGGAGACCCACTTTCCTCACTATTACTTGATACATTTCTAGAAGTGCTGTTAATACCAATAAGACAAGAGAAATAAATTAAAGGCATAAAGATAGATAAAGAGGAAATAAAAAAATCCCTATTTGCTGATGACATAACGGTTTACTTAGAAAATCCCAAGGAATGAGCAAAATACAAATGGAAACAATTAATAGCTGCAACAAAGTCATCAGTTTCAAAATCATCCCTCAAAAATCAACTGCATTTCTATGTAATACTAATAAAACGCAAGAGGCAATGATAGAAAGGGAAATCACATTCCAAATAACTACAAAATGCGTAAGATATCTGGCCACAAATATACAAAATACTTATATAGATTCAATTATAAAATACTCCCTGAAAAAATAAAGAATAACTTAAATAGTTGGTGGAATATTCAGTGCTCATAGCTGGACTGTGCCAATATAATGAAAATGACACCACCACCAGTTAATTTACGGTTTTAATGTTATGCCAATCAAATTATCAAAGGGATACTTTGTAACACTTGGTAATGAAAAAGAAAAATAATGTGAAGAAGAAAAGATCTAGAATATCAAGGGAAATAATGAAAAGAGGTAGGAGTAAAAAAAGAAATACCACTTGTAGACATCAGACTGTATTAAAAACAGAAGAAACAACATTTGGTATTGGTTAAAAATAGAGAATAGATCAATGGAACAGACTAGACAACGAAGAATAAGAAACAATGGAACTCAATAACCTAGTGTTGGATAAACCAGAAAACATAAATTACGTAGGAAAGAACTCCTTATTTATTAAAAGAAAAAAACTATTGGGAAAACTGGAAATCAATCTGGCAGAAATTAGGCTTAGGCCAGCATCTTACACCACATTCCACAATACGTTATAAATGGGTACGTGATCTTAGTCTTAACGATCATACCACAAAAAAATTAGAAGAGAAACAGGTCATTTGCCTTATACAGCTATTGGTAGGAAATGTTTTCTTGACCAAACTAGAAGTAATTACAAAAGATAAAATAGATAAATGATTATGTGAAACTGAAAAGCTTCTGCATAGACAACATTAATGCATTTAGGACAAGAAGGAAAGTAGTCAAATGGGAAAAAATCTCTGTATCAAATTTCTCTGACGAAGGTTTAGTATCCAACACACATGTGGGCACACACACACACACACACACACACACACACACACACACCTCTTTGTTGTTGTTCAGTCGTTCAGTCATGTCTGACTTGTTGTGACCTCATGGATTGTATACAGCACACCAGTACTGTCCATAGGGCTTTCTTGGTGAAGATGCTCGAGAGCTTTGCCATTTCTTTCTCTAGTGGAGAGTAACAGAGGTTAAGTGACTTGCCCAGGGTCACACAACTAGTAAGTGTCTGAGGTTGGATCTGAACTCAGATATACACATGTATATAATCAAAATCCACTCCCCAGTAGATAAATTATCAAAGGATGGGAACCTTTTTTAAAAGAAGAATTGCAATCTATTAACAATCATATAAAAGAATGCCCCAAAGCATAAATATAAAGAACAATACAAATCAAAACAACCCTGAAATTTTGCCTCACATTCTAAAAATTGGCAAAATATGGGAATAGTCAATATTTGAGGCGTTGTGGAATGAAGGGACACTAAGACATTGTTGTGGAGGTGTGTATCAATACAACCATTATGGTGAAGCAATTTGGAATTTTGCAAATAAAGTGGCTAAAATGTCCACAACCTTTGATCCAGAGATTCCACTGCTGCTGCTGCTAGTAGCTAGCATTTATACAGGTTTGTATAAAACTATCTATAGCTAGGATTTATATAAAATTTGCAAAGTGCTTTATAAATGTCATCTCATTTGATCCTCATAACAGTCCTGGGAGGTAGATGCTGTTATTCCCATTTTACAGATGAAGAAACTGAGGCTGAGAGGTTAAGTGATAAATGCCCAGGGCCACACAGCTAATGTCTGAGGCATGATTTGAACTCAGGTCTTCTTTACTCCAAGGCCAGCACTCTACTATGACACCACCTAGCTGCCCTAAGTTTAGAACCCTAAAGAGGCCATTGATAAGAAGAAAGTCCCTAATTACACCAAAATATTGATAGCAACACTTTTTGTGAGAGTCTAGAACTAGAAACAAAGTGGATGCCCATCAATCGGGGAATGGCTGAACAAATGGGGGTATGTGATTCTCGGAATATTACCGCGCTGTAAGAAATGATGGGGGTGAGAAATACAGAGAAGCATGAGGAGACTTACCTGAACTGATGCAGAGAGAAGGAAGCAGAGCCCAGAAAATAACATACACACTAAGTACACCAATGTGGATGAGGAGAATTGCACACATAAAATTGCAAAGGACAATCTTGCCTTGAAAGGAGAGATCTGAGATGACACTTCTACCCACCCTTGTGCAGAGGTGAGAGGGCCTCAGGTGGGGTACAGACTTATGTATGATATGATCAGTTTTTTCTTTTTTCTTTTCTTTTTCTCTTTGTTCTATGGGATGGCTCTTTGGGAGGGGGAAGGAGGGCTATTTGGGGACATTCTGGGGGCATATTGCAGTGTGGGCAAGATTCTTGTTTTACTTTGAGCTAGATTAGATGGATGGTATTTGAGGTCCTTTTAGAAATTCTGTAATATGAAGGTGTGAAACTAATTGACTTTGAGGGACTTTTGAGAAACTGTCTATGCTTCTAAATGCATTCCCTGAGATACAACTCCTTCTGATGTTTTCTAGTTTGGAACTGATCCATGAGAATGACTCACTTCCTCTCCTTGTAATAGAACTGCAACATCCCTATTGAAGAAGGCCCAGTGACCAGAACTGGAGCTCTGGGGCCAATCGAATCAGTGTACTTCCGAGATCCTGACAAGAATCTGATTGAAGTTTCCAAGTATATCACAGAACATGTTGGATACAAGGTGTGATTCTCTAGCATTATTCTTTGCAAAGTGTCTCTTTCACTTCATCTTCCTCCTTCTTGTAGCACCCCCCCCCCAAATATTTCATAATTGGATATATCACATATTCACATGACATGGTGGATGTACCATACCATGCATTGTACACATTACATCTGTGGGGCACATTATACATGTGTATGACACTTAGGGGCCTTGGGTGATATGGTGTGAGAGCTACTTCCCTAAACCTCCAGAAAGAAGGTGTCCATGTGTATTAATCACTCCAAGAGGGAGGACAGTGTCTATAGAAGGCCTTCTACTTGAGACACCATGAAATCCCTCTCTCTTAAAGGTTGAATTTGAAATTAGTCCAAAGGAGGGCCCGCAACATTCTCCAAATATCCAAACAGGAAATCTGCTATCTGTCTGCCCAGCTAGTCCTCTCTGAACATCCCATACATTGCGGTGGCAAAGAATTGGAAATTGAGGGGATGCTCATCTATTGGGGAATGACTGAACAAGCTGTGATTTATGATTCTAATGGAATACGACTCTACTATAATAAATGATGAGGGGATGGTTTCAAAAAAGACATGGGGAGGCCTTTATGAACTGATGCTGAGTGAACTGGGAGATCATTGTGCACAGTAACAGCAGTGTTATAATGATGATCACCTGTGAAAGACTTGGCTACTTGATCAATACAGTGATCCAAGACAATCCAAAGGACTGATGAAAAAAGAGAGAACAAAAAGAGAGTGCAAATCACAATATAATTTTTTTACTTTCTGTTCTTTGCTTTTTAGAAAAAAATATGGCTAATATGGAAAGATGTTTTGCATGATTTCACATGTATAATTGATGTATTGCTTGTCTTCTCAGTAGATGGGAGAGGAGGGAGGGAATTTGGAACTCAAAATTTAAAAAGAAAATGTTAAAAATAATTTAAAATGTTTAAAAAATAAAAAAATTGAAAAAAGAATGCTTCTAAAGCATTTCTCAGGGGAAAATCATATTCCTGAAAACATACACTAACAAAATAGAAACAGAGAGGATTAATAAACTGAATATGGAATCAACAAATTGTAAAGCAAACAAATAAACCTAAAACGAGTGCAAAAGAGGAGATACTAAAAATTGGAGGAGAAATAGATAAACTGGAAACTTAAAAAAAAAACCTATAGAAATGGTAAATACAACTAAAAGCTGGTTCTTTGAAAATGCTAATAAAACTGAGAAACCTTTAGCCAGTATGATTAAAAAGAGGAGGGCAGAAAATCAAATGAACAAAATAGCAAATGAGCAAAAGGAAAGTGTTGCAGTCTGGGAGGTTGAGACCCCTCAGAGACTGGAGTACAGGACGGGGTCGTCTGGAATGAAATCACAGACTCAAGCATTCTTTAGGTCAAGGTGGCAAAGATTTATTGTTACGCTTTTCAGCAGGCAAGGATTCTTAAGGAACCTGCGAGAGACTGAGGATGGAGCTAGAGTTTATACGGGAGAGGAATGCCAGGGACACTGATTGGGCAATCTAGAGGTCCAGGTGTCTTTGGGAGCTATGGATGGGAAAGTACAGGGAGGGAGATGACAGAGGTATGGATCTGTGGAGTCTGGCAGGAGGAAGAGTCCTTGGGCCGGCCAAGGACAAAACTCCTTGGGCTGGGCAAGGCACCCCTCTCCCTCTGTCTTGATGAGAGACTGCTCTGCAAGGAGGGAAAGCTTTCTCACAAGACGGGAACTTACTAAGGCATTGGGAGGCTTCCAGAGACATGATCTGAGGGCTGGGGCCTGAGCAGCCCAGCACTCTCACCCAGCTTTGTGTGGCTGCACCAGGGAGAGAGATAAGGGCCTTGCTGGGGCCCAAGCATGAGTAACTGCTAGGCACGGTGTCCTTGGGCTGGGGAGTGGTTGTCAGAGACAGTGTTTCCGAGGCTAGGGAGAAATTGGGGTCCAAGAACAAGCACAAGCACCAGCACCCAAGCACCCCATCAGGAAGCACAGTAAAGCCAGGAAGAAATAATAATCAGAATACATTCTACACAGTCATATGCTACCAAAACTGAGAACACAAAAGAAATCGAGGAAAACTTTCAAAATATAAAAGATCCAGATTAACAGACGACCGAACAGAGATCTGAAAGAATCCATTCTCAGAAACAGAAAGAGTTGTAAAGGAACTCCAAAACAAACCAGACAAAAGAAACTCTTGGTCTCGGTGGATTCACAGGAGAATTCTATCAAACTTTTAAAGAACAATTTGTACCCATACTGAATGAATTGTTCTGAAAAACTGAGAAAGAAAGCAACACAGTGCTTTGGATGAGACAAATACGTCATTTAATATGTAAAACAGGAATGAGAAAACACAGAAGTATAGACCAATATCATTAATGAACGTTGATTCAAAAATTTTAAACAAAATTCTGTCAAACTATAGGGATTTATCCAAGAAATCATTCATTATTTGTACTAGGCATGAGAGGATGGTTCATATTAGGGCAAAAAAACTCAATATAATTCATCGTATTACAAAGTAAAAAATATCAGATCCCATGCTTGTCCCAACAGATGCAGGAAAAGTCTTTGACAAAGAACAACACTCATTTTTGCTAAAAACAAAACAAAACAAAACAAAAGAAAGAAGCCTCTGAAATTGAGGGGGGGAAGTGGGGGGAGGGGAGGAGGAAGAAGGGCGGTGCCCCGCCCCGCGTGGGCTTTGTCGCCTCATTTTCCTCTCTCTCCTCTGGGGGGCGCTCAGAGATCACGCTGGCCGCCCGGCCTGACACTCTGGCATCATTTAGTTAGGTCGGAGGCCTTTTCACGGCAGCCGTCATTGTGTGCGTGCGCGTGCGCGTGTGCGGGCGCATGCGCGCTGCACGAGGGGCAGGGTCTGGGGCGGGGGGGGGGGGGCGGGGGGGGGGGGGGGGGGGGCCGGGGGGGGGTGGGACCTGTCTGCCTGACTTTGAGGTCCGATCTGCTGTCGGTCTTCCCCCCACATCACAAAAAGTGCTGCTGTAAACATTTTTTTTAATTTTTTTTAATTTTTAACACGTGTTTTTAAAACTTGGGGTTCCAGATTTTCTCCCTTCCTCCCTCCCCACCCACCCTCATTGAAAGGGCAAGCATCTTGATACAGGTTGTAGATGTATAGTCATGCAAAACACTTCCATAGTAGTCATGTTGTGAAAAA